ATGTAGCTCGTCTGTGTTGGGACATTCTTTTGAACAGTGGTTGCTTTGTTTCCCCGATGTATAACTGGTCGCAGTCCTCCTGGCACACAGTCCTTTAGCCTGAAACTCTCAGACTGAAGAAGTCTCTTGGAGGAGAGACGAAATGTTTCATTAGAGAAGAACCCGTCCAGAAGACCTATACAATTTTTTTCCTTTTGATTTTTTTTCCCTGGATTACTGAGATGCATCAGGACGTAACCAAATAGTGGTTTCAATCAGTATATTGTCAATAAGTCTTCAATTAACAAAAAAAAGATAAAATTAAAAAAAAACTTAAAATCAGCTTACTCTTTTTTTGAGCAACAAATACTATTAATAATAATAAACCAGAATATAAATACATTTAACTTGAGAAGGAGTGGTATATCCCTATTCAATATATAAATGGTGTGGTTGCTACTGACATTTGAAATGTAACAAGTCAGACAGACACGTAATAAAAACAATTTCTTAACAAAATAATCATATATGTTGCAGTAAGAATGATATTAAATCAATAATGTAATGCAATGCCTTAACAATTACAAAAGATATCATATGTATATAATATAATTTCTTAATATTTATAAAAGAAAAGAAAGGAGAACAATCATGSTATTGATTGTTCTTTCCTTCCTTTAATACCAGAGAAGTGTAACTTTTTTATCACCTTTAAGTATCTGCAAAAGCTTTTAATGTTTTCTCAGAAAGCCTTAAAACAGGGGTGTACATAGTGTGGCCCGGGGGRCATTTGTGGCCCTTGAACTGATTTTGTGTGGCCCCTGAAGAATTATACTAATTTGATTACAGATCCCCCGGCACAGGTGTAAATGGAGACTTTCTGTGTTTAATTATGGCAAAATTATCACAAAGTTAAATAATCTTCCAATAAAGAATATTAGTAACAATGTTTAGTTTATTGTTGAGCAGGTAAAGGACAAATACTTTAGGCCCTCAGGTCCTTCTGACTTTATGATTTTAGCCCATGTGACTAAACGTTTGGACACCCCTGCCTTAAAACACGTCTGTTCGTAGTCATATCTGGTTCYAAGATGATGGAATTCATGCAGCTTTATTTGCAGAAGTTCTCAACTCGTTTTTTCACAGTCTGCACACAAGCAGCTGAAATCACACCTGCATGACCTTTTTTTAGTCTGCACAGCTCTCTGTTGCAGTTTGTGTGCTGTGAGTGCATTCAGCCATATGTTTGCTAAAACTAGAGGCTTTTTTGACCTTTAACCAGTTTGAAACTGCTTTCACTTCCTCTCTTTTGTTTCGTTTTCTATCCACTGTATCCGTTTTCTGCCCTAAAATAGAGCTGAATAATTGTYAAAACAGCTATATGGGTTTTATTGTGAAAATAATGCTGACATAGAACCAAGGGCCAAAGTTA